TTTCCTTTTACCATCCATAATTTTTTGTGAACTACTGGAATTGAATTAGAATCAAACAGAAATTTTTCAAATTGAACCAAATCGAAATAAAATTCTAGAACTTGAAATCTAAAAAAAAAAAACCAAACCGAACCGAATCAAAGAACCAAATCTATTTTGAGAGTTTGAAATTTTGCTTATACAACAAAAGTTACAAACAATATAGATAAGTGTTAATTTGTGTAATAACCTTAATAGAAAATGACTTCACTAGATATCTAGAATTGAGTTACTATGTCACACAAACAAATAATAATAATCAACGTTTCTAAAAATGGTACGAGCAAACTATGTCAGTGGGTCCCACCAATTTTTTTTTGTTTGTTTGGGGGAGAGAGAGATTGTATACAACAAAATCCGAAACCCTAACCCCCCAGCCAAACCATCATCATCTCTTTCACTTCACCAAACCTAAACCCTAGAATGCGTCTCTGAACCTGAATGTGCAATCAAACTCTCCTTAGATCTATGGCTCTCGATTCTTCCGGCAACCAATCCGAGCAACAGCAACCGCAAGCCTCCTCCGGCAACGGCGATGTCGGATTGAAACTCCGTAGGATCCCTAACGAAGAACACGAGCCTGACAACTATGAGGATCTACAGTTGGATTTTAGCCCTGTTCTGTTCAGCTCTCTTGAGCGTTACTTACCCGACCAGATTCTCAATTCCTCTCGAATCGACAAGGCTCGTTTCATGAGAGACCTTCTTTCCCGATACTCCCCTGACACTGACCGAATCCGGGTAAAAACTGAGCTCTTCTCCGTTAGTTCGAGCTTCCGTTTCTTGAAATTGAGCTTGAATTTGTGTCTCATTTCTTCATGGAAACAGATTCAGAGGCATAGAGAGTACAGGCAGAAAATCTTGTCTTCTTACCAGGTTTTTCTCTACTTTCTATATCGTCGAATTGGGGAAAACGGGTCTTGTCTGGATTGTTTGATTGAATCTTTTTGTCTGGTTTTTTGGTAGCGTCTGCATGGAGAGATCTATTCTCTTGACCCTTCTAGTTTCTTCGTGCCTTCGTTTCTTGGAGCTGTTAGGCAGAAGTCAGAGGAGAGTTTGAGAAGCATAATGGTTCCATCTTCTCCAGGGATTTTCACTTTTGAAATGTTTAATCCAAGGTTTTGTGAGATGTTACTAGCTGAGGTATAATAAATGACTTGAAAGTTTTCGTTTTTTTTTCGTGTGTGTGTTTGGGTTGTAGTCTCTGTCTTTCTTACTAGCGTATAACTAATTGTTGGATAGGTTGAACATATGGAGAGATGGGTTTATGATTCAAGATCAACTATAATGAGACCCAATACGATGAACAAATTCGGTGTTGTTCTTGATGATTTTGGCTTTGAAGCCATGCTCCAGAAGATGGTTGATGACTTCATAAGTCCTATAGCTCAAGGTTAACATTCTAATTGTGGTTGCAAATTTTGGGTTTTGTCGCAGAAAGTTTTAGTTTTTTTGTGAGATATATGTGTACTCATGGGTTTGGTTTTTGATCTTGTGTCAGTTTTGTTCCCGGAAGTCTGTGGAGCCTCTTTAGATTCTCACCATGGCTTTATTGTTGAGTATGGGAAAGATAGGGATGTTGATCTTGGTAAGTACTGGGAAGCTCTACAATGGTCTCTTTTTTTGGTTAGTTGGATTTGGACTGGTCTAATATCTGAAAAAAATTGCTTCTTGCTTTTAGGGTTCCATGTGGATGACTCAGAGGTTACTTTGAATGTCTGCTTGGGTAAACAATTTTCTGGTGGGGAGCTGTATTTCCGAGGCGTGAGATGTGATAAACATGTGAATTCCGAAAGCAGTGAAAAGGTACTTTTGAAACCAACCATCTAGCAGTCAAGTGTCACTTATACTTGTGCATTTAGTGATTTTGGTTTCAACCCCAAAGATGTTTTCTCTGTGATTAGAACTGATGAGCTTATTTTACGCGCACATTCATAGTTTGTATAGCCATGACTCAGAAGATTCTTCATTATTAATTCTTCTGTAGGAAGTTTATGATTACCCTCATGTACCTGGTCATGCCATTCTTCATCGTGGACGTCACCGCCACGGTGCTAGAGCTACAACTTCTGGACACCGAGTCAATTTGATTTTGTGGTGTAGAAGGTAAAGCTTTCCCATTTAGCTAAAGTTTCCAAAATTAATTCTACATCAGTGTTAGATACTTTCTCTGTCTTTCGCATGTAGCTCAACTTTTCGAGAGATGAAGAATTATCAAAGAGATTTCTCAAGTTGGTGCGGAGAATGCAAATTTGATAAACAGGGAAGGCAGCAAGCCTCAGTTAAAGCAACTAAAGAGGTATGTATAGCAATGCTGCATTGGAGATGATGTTTTGCAAGCAATTGTTTTCTATTTATCTAATGTAGTTTTGGTTTTGTTTCTGTGTGTTTTGGGGGTAATTTGCAGATACTGGAGAGGAGAGCAGCAGAGAAGGCGCTTGTTGAGCTCGCTTCAAGATCATCTGCCGACAAAACTTAAACTAAGCAGGGGATAGTCAGGAAAAAAACCCATCTTCTTTGTATCATTGCAGTGACCATGTATATAGAGGCAAGGGAAACAGTTTGTTTGTACGCGTAAAACTACCTTTTGTCAAGGGTAAATTTTGTTCCATTTTTCAGATTGTTGTAACAATAAATTTCTTAGAGGAATGAAGCCAAATGAAACCCACTAATAAATCTTTCCTACTGAATATTAACTGCATCTTCTGGAGAATATGAGAATTTGTAAGGTTTTTCAAGTAAAAATTGTAAGATCAGGGTTAAGAGCAGGCAAATACACTTTTGAGTTTCTTCTCTAACTGCAGAGACAATCCCTTGGAGCGTCACAGGAACACTAAGCTCCATTCTCCAAGGGTCTATGAAAATTGCGAGGGATTGAATGATAGATTTTCGACTGCACTTGACAAAGCTCCAGAGACTATCGTTTTCGCTCAATCTGAGAGGCATAAAGAAGAGCCAGAAATTGCTGCAAAATGTAGACCAAAACAGAAATGGAAACTAACCTAAGAACCAGGCATTTTAACTTGGATCCCTCAAGAACCATCTCAGTTGCATGATTGTGACCTCTTTGTCTCCGTTCTAGTTCAAACTCAGACGGGAAGTCAAGAGTTTCTAATGTTTCTTGTTCCATACGAGTCCATAAGAGTTGAGAATCATTCGCCTGTAATTTTTAATCGGTATCCAAGAGTAACTAAACTAAAATACTCGATTCATCACACTCTAGACAGGAATTGCAGGGACTCTCACCAACAATGCAAGACAAAGCCAAAATATTGTGCAAACTCATGGATTAAAAAAAGAACAAATTTAACGTCGCTATATAATAAATAATAAATTTAATAATATATATAGTTGGTTTGCCTTTTGGTATTTAAAAATGTATTTTCATGATACATGTAAACTGCTTGGAGAGATGCAAAAATCAACAAATAGGAAGAAAACAAAAACCAAGTGATCCACAACATTTTTGTAACCGTCAGAAACTGAGAGGCAAAACCAGTTTAAAAAAAAATATATAAAACAACTTTTTAAGTATTTTGGGCGTCTTCTAGATCATCTCTTTTGCTCTCTTTAAGCGTTTTTTGCAACTTCTTAGCTTGAGTCAAAACACACTCTTGGTCGAACAAAGCTGACACAACCGCTACACCTTTTAGGTTCGGTGCATCGATCCGCATAACAGACTCAGCATTCGAGATTCCGATGCCTCCAATGGCAACCACAGGTAATTTTGATGCCTTGCATACTTCTTTGAGCCCACTAAGTCCTATGGTACGATTGTTGGCCTTCGTGTTTGTTGGAAACACTCCTCCTGACCCAATGTAGTCTGCACCATCTTTCCACGCTTGATGAGCTTGTTCTGGTGTTTTACATGAGACCCCGATGATCTTGTCCGGGCCAATAAGAGACCGAACTAGATCAACTGGCATGTCGGATTGGCCAACATGGACTCCATCAGCATCACAAGCAAGGGCAATGTCGATCCTGTCGTTTATCAGCAAACTAACTCCGTTGGACCGGCATATTTCAACACATGCTTTTGCTCCTTCGAGAAACTCCCCTGTTTCGGCTTCTTTCTCCCTGCAAAAGCACTGAGATGTTGTAATCGGATTCCATAAGAGAGAGAGATACAGAAAGAAGCTTCAGTTATAGCAAACATGATAAAACCTCAGTTGTATGATGGTTGCCCCTCCTTCTATAGCAGCTTTCACGGCATCCACAATGGATCTGTTCCATTTTTTGTTCATTCTGGAATCTGTTACGGCGTATAGAAACAGGTAATCTGGATTGAATGTGCTGCATCGAGAACTTTGGGGATTCTTCTTAAGACCGAAAAAGTGGTCAAAAGGTCCTTGCATCCCACTGCCTATGACAATATCTTTGCTGTAATCTAGGGCATTATCTACGAAGCGTTTAGCCACCTACCAACATCAGAAAGGTCCGGGACTTAACATTAGCCTTGTTAGTACAGTTTTATTGATACAAAAACAGATATATTCATTCCCCATATACATTTTCCCATCATCAATCTCCAAACATCTCTGCTAGATTTGAACTTCTAGAAAAGAAAGCGTTCCACTTATAATCAATTTCACTGAAGAAGAGCAAATGCAGAATAATATAAATCACGGAGAGCCATGGAGCATAGCATATGAGAGAAGAAACGTTTTGGGAAAAGAAGCATATGTACCTTCACGGCTGAGAGCATGGAAGAGCCTTTTGCAAGCTCTGCTGCAATGCATGAAGCCAAAGTGCAGCCAGTCCCATGAGTATTTCTTGTCCTTATGCGAGGTGAACGAAGTTCATGAAACTCCTTGCCTATCAAAAAAGGTTCCACATGTATATTAACCATAAATTTAAAGTCCGTGAAGCTTCATCAACAAAGACAATGTACAAATTTCGTTTTGGGAAGACCATACCATCAAAGTAAACATCTACCGACTCCAATGAATCAGGAAGATCACCACCTTTGACAAGCACGAATCTAAACAAGTAAAATAGAAGTAGATCAAGATCACACGATAATGCTCCTGGAATAAACATGACCACATAGCAACCAAGCCTAAAAGGGCCAACTCTATGCCCATTTAACTACCAGGGAACAAGACAGTTTAGTGTCGATTTGTCTCGGTAGGAATGACTAAGAAGAATAAGTGTAAGCTACAAAAAGAATGAGAGAAAATGGAAACCTAGGACCCATTTCATGCAACGATTTCGCTGCAGAACGCATTTCTTCAACAGTCTCAATCCGAACACCGCCAAGTAAAGCAGATGCTTCTTTCACATTTGGGGTTATTATGTCAGCAATTGGCAGCAATCTCTCTCTGCAATCACAAACCATAATCAGAAGAACATAACACAATCAAACACAGAAATGATAAACTAACAATGCATTACCTTACCTGAAGATAGAGAGAATAGAAGAACCAGCAAGAACGTGACCACTCGTCGATACCATCACAGGATCAATAACCAAAGCTAACTTAAGAAAAACGAACTATATAAGCAATCGAAAAGACGCAATTTCGAATCTGAATACAGAACAAGTGAGGTTTTTGGTTTTCTACCACGGACTGGAAAATCAGTCAGGTTTTGAAGAAGAACCTCGACGATCTCCGGAGAAGGAAGCATCCCAGTCTTCACCTGTCAAGTTATTACTCCAATTGATCATCAACAGAAAGAGAAAGAGAGAGAGAGAAAGAGAGTAATCACTAAGAAGAAGAGCTTACGACGTCGAATTCGAAGTCAGAGAGAACTGATTTCAGTTGTTCAGAGACGAAATCGGGAGGAAGAAGATGAACAGATTGGACACCTCGAGTGTTCTGAGCAGTGACGGCGGTTATGACGGAAGCGCAATAGACACCACGAGCCGCGCAGACTTTAAGGTCGGCTTGGATTCCAGCTCCTGCGCCGGAATCCGATCCCGCTACCGTCAGAACCTGAGCCACCTTTCCGACTCTCTC